AAAGTTCCCCAGTCAGTGCTTCTTAGGTGATTGTGAAAGTTATTCCAATCAACCTTGCGATAGTTTCTACGAAGTGTTGCGGTTTTACGTCTACCGGTTGTGGTTTTTATATTAAGGCTGCATATGACAATGTTATGATCACTACCTGGAAACGTTTTTCCAATATACACAGTATTGAGGGTGAGGCCACTGGTAAAGAATAAGCCCAAGATATTTCGATGTCTGGTAGGGCTATCGACATACTGAGTCCATTGTCCGAGCTCTAGACATTCTATAAATGATTCATAACGCTTAGGCGCCTTGACTGGGAACCAGGAAATTTCGGGCATGTTGAAGTCACCACTAATAAGCTTGCCTGTGAATGGAAGGGATGATGCTAGTGTGAATAGCTCCGATAGTATTGCTATGTCATCTATTGATGCATTAGGTCGACGGTAAACACAGCCGAACAGTAAGGTAACGGAATTCGACGGCTTTAATACAATCCACACCGAATCCTTCAGTTTGTTTAGTTCAGGCATATCACATAGTAGTGAGGTAAGGCTAGAGTGGGCGTAAATAAGGCATTCTCCGCCTTTTCCTTTCAATCTATCAGTTCTATATAGAAAAAAGTTGTCAAGAGATATACTTAGGTCGGAAATATTACTGTTAGTCCATGCTTCAGATATCATTATAAGTGATGGTTGATATATGGATACAAACATGACTAAATCCGTCTTTTTATTGCAGATCGATCCAGTGTTGATGGGATATATATTAAACGAATGGCCTACCAAGTTAAAATGAGTAAGAGTATCTCGAATCACGTCGTTGTAGCCCTCGCGTGTGTGAGGTGAGTTAGAAGTGAGGGATTGAATGTTCTTCAATAGCTCGATATTTTGATAGCTAGACTTAGTGGGAGATGTATCCAATGAGCTAATGAAGTTGATTGAGGAGTTTATCCAGGAGGAAAGGGTGAGAGTACTCTCTGATGGAAACTGTACGAGGGAAACGCGTTTATGTTTTGCATGTGGTTTGAAATAACTTGGACTATATGCTTCAACAGAGGTGTCACTAGGGGTCGTATTCCAAAAAAATCCTGTACAGGCCTACTTGAAGTGTATGGTTGTTTGCAAAATAGTCTTGGTGTTTAGACGCGTAGTCTCTGTTATAGTTATTTTCGTTGGCGTGAGAGTGGGCCTGTTGCGCGTAAGTGGAAGGAGTTGCGACTTCTATTATACGTGGGAGCTGTTTTTATGTGGTGGGTTGTTACTAGAGGGTGTGAAAAGTTTCCTTTCTGAGAGTAATTATAATTCTGATCCTGTAGAATGTAGATAGGATGTGGAGTGAGAAACCTAATTTTTACCATTCTTAATAATGGTTTTAAGCTCTAGGGGGTGATTGGAGTGATCAGCACTCTGGTAGTTTTTGTTGGTCTGTGTGTAAAAAGGCTTGTTACGCTGTAGCCCACCACCATTTTGCAACTTAGAGGTGATGATATTGACATTTGTGTACGATACGCATATTGTTCATTTGTTAAAGGTTCGACATTGTCAGGTAATGAGTCGTTAGTCATAGAAGTTACAGATTTGGACCTTTTATTTGGCTTAGAAGTTGGTGAAATTTCTCTTTTACTGGAGTTATTGACTATGATTTGAAACTGGGTGAGTACAGAGCTCGTCAAGTCAAATATAGCACCAGAATATTAGTAGTTGTTAAGTATTAACCTGGTCAATACAAGCATGAGACTATGGGTATATAATAAATTTTAGATCCATTTTAGACTTAAGTCCGCAATAGGAATATTATAAACTGGTAAGTATCCGTCAAAAAGTTTTTTATTTTTCAGGGTAAAAAGTACCCAATATACATGATAGGATGATAGTCTCCGTATAATACATTTTACAAATGAACAAGTCGAAGAATTACAAGACCATGTGAAAAACAGTTATCAATTTCAAATTTCGTTCGATGAATGCAGATAATATCAGTAGGATCCGTATTGTCAACATGACAGTTGGTGCGCTTCCTGGAGGTTGCGTTGCGACGTGCAACTGGTTACTCACGTACTTACTTGCTCACGCCTGTTACTCTCATTGGAGTATAGCCCGCCGACCAGCGTTATCCAACACGCTCTCCTGATCCTACGTTTCCAGTTCCATCCAATTTTTGTTCATTTCTCTCATATCTGTCTCCGTTTCTCGGCGTAATGTGTCTTTGGTCTTTCTTTTCTCCTGTGGCCTTGAGGATTCCATGTCAGGGCTTGTCTTGTGACCCGGTTGGGTGCTTTCATCAGTGTGTGTCCTATCCACCTCCAGCGCTTCTTCATGATTTCCTCCTCCGCTGGGATCTGGTTTCTTCTCTACCATAGTAGGTTGTTGCTAATAGTGTCTCGCCAACGGATCCGAAGTATTTTGCGCAGACAACTGTTAATAAACACCAGTGTCTTCTGAATGATGGCTTTCGTAGTTTTCCAGGTTTCCTCCACATAAAGTAGAACTGCCTTGACATTTGTATTGAAGATTCTGACCTTGGCGTTGGTTGACAGACAGTCGTTTTGAGTTCCAGATGTTCTTCATTCGTAAATATGTTGCTCTTGCTTTGCCGATCCGTGCCTTCACATCTGCATCAGATCCACCGTGTTCATCGATAATACTGCCAAGATATGCACTAATGATGGCGCAAAACAAAGCCACCGCTCCATATGCGTTATCAGTAGCATATCTTGAGATGGCTGAAAAAGGGTAGGAAAAAGAAAGGGCGAGAAGAATAAAAACATACGAAGTTCATGCATATTAAAATTGTGTCATTTGTTGTGAAATAGTGAGGGTCATAAAAACGATTCTTTGTGGCTTGTTAGCTTAAACAGCATTTTTTAAGTAACTTATCCACTAGACTTGTTAGAATAACAGGCTTGTGGTTAAACACGATCCGTCTCTTTCCGTAATCAAATAAAGGGCTAACTGCAACATCCTTACAATTCCTAGGGGGATGAATGTGAGAAAGACATGATGAACATCATGCTAAATGGCACTGAAATAATGATAGACCCGTCAGATATGTAGTTATGAGAAGTTTTGTAAGCAACGCCTTCATAATAGACTGCGCTGGAACGGTTTGCATAAATTCTCAGCATCGGCGAAATCTAACCCAGCTAATGTATCTGAATTTTCGTGCAATAATAATCGACAAATTCCATCACTACGTTTCGTTCTTCGTTGAATGTGTGGAAACAATCGTTTTTGGAAATTTAAAGTTTCAGATGACAAACGTCTTTCATAAGTGGGGTGAAGTATAACTATGGTCTTTTGATATATATTCCAGATTTTTCAGTATTCCCAACTAAATGGTTCGTGGCCTGTTAACAGGGACGACTCCCGGAAATATTTCCTACGCCTCGACATCTTTCGTGTTTCCTTGTCTATCCATGGAGAGCAATAGCCTACTTGTTGACCATGTGATGAACGGCAATGTTACGGATCTGAATACAGCTCTAAACCCATCTCATTCGTCTTCGATTAGTCTATCTACATTGACCGATCAGTATTTCGAAATAGTACATCTCTCTGTCAAACATATGTCGGTTCTGCGATGTATGCACTAAAGCATACTGAATAATGGTTGGCAGCAGGCTGACCCTGAACATATATCTGAAGCTGTAAGCTCTATCCAGTTGATGTGTGAAGCCGTGAATCTTTCAAAAGTGAGACAACGATAAGGTTTACTTCAGGAACAGATATGATTTGAGACAAAATCACCAGCAAATCACAGTAAGCAACGGTATATTCCTTCCATACTCACTAATTCGTTTATAGATTCAACTGCAAAACAAGCTACTTCACACTTACCGCTATCGCGAGCCTCTGACGTAAACAATTGTACACGAAAGTAATTTCTAACATATGATATTATCTGTTCTCCCTTGCAATTTTTAACTCCATCACTTCTGACACAGATATATACTATTACAAACAGAGAATAGCCTATACTCACATGAGCCACTTTTCTGACAACAATCATATCAGAACTGAATTCATCAACGATCATACTTGGCTCAGAAATCTTAGCTCTGAGACAACAATTGTTTGTGTAGCATACTTTACTGCGTGGTTTGAGAATCATTCGCAGATACGTAGGATGCTCATTCAAATATCGTATTCAAAAATGAGTGTGCACTTCTGTACATTTAACATGTCTTTATTAAATACCGAAATTTTTCAAAATGTTCAAAACTTATAACATGGGAAATTAGTTTTTTCACGGACGACAGTGAGTTGTTTATAACGCTTCACTCCCTCAACGCGAAGGGTCAATTAGTGATAATTTTCTAGACTTCTGACATATTATCGAGCGCACATAAAAAATCTGCTGGACGAAACCGGTGTTCATGTGTTGCGTCAAAAGATTCTGCTCAAATGGTTTTTAGTCATAATGGTTCGATCATAATGAAGTACTATGAGTCCTGAAAGTGTTGTAAAATTATTTCAGTAGGTTGGACATATCTCCGGGAAGATTCATAAAGTTTTTAATTAATCGTTTCATAACGCAACGTGAATTAATTAAACATGGTAGAAAAAGCAGACAGTGGTAACGACCTTCTCAAGATTCAAAACTTGGGTAACATTTAACATCTTATAGATCTTTGTCTATTAGTAACTTAGGAAAGGAAACAACATAGATTGAGCGTGAAATGTAAATGGCGTTTTAAGCCGACCCATGTTGGATGTATGAATGTCTCACGTGATCTATGGATAAGTTAAGGCAGTTTGGTTTTTATTCATATACATTCAACTAGTAATCTACACAATTGCTGACATCAAGTTGTGACCGACTACCGAAATATTAATGTTTTTCAGGGTTATTCACCATTAGAACTTAAATAAAGAATAAATTAACCGCCACAGTTTTAAAGCATATTTTTTATATTCAAAAATCGGATATGTGAGCCGAGTTTTAGGATGTCTTGTTCACAAAAACCACCCACACATTTACCTATATGACGTTGTGTGTCGGTTTGTTATAATGCACTAGCCATATTTGTACTCTCAATCCAAGACTGGTGCGGCGTTTTATATGATGTGTGTTTTAGGTTTTCGAATCCTCAATAATTCTTTTTTATTTACGATTACTCGATTTTTCAGTTGTTGTTTTTAAATCTATTTCTGTTACATGTCAATTTCAAGACTTGGTGGTCGTAGTGAATCTCAAGATTTCACTGAGTTGTTGGTTACAGTATACTGTATCACTATAGTGATACGTTTTTATTCGTTTTAGATTCATTGAAGTGTTAGAGCTGAAATCACACAACTTTACAATTTGTGTTACAACGAAATTGTCATTAGACAGACCGGAGCTTATTTGAGGCCAAAAATTACATTCAATGAAAGATGAATCCCGCCAACTTGCTATCAGCCGCAAAGTCTGGAACCACTAGCAGTATATTGGATTTTCTACGGAAACCTGTCAGCATTCTGAGGCTCGTATCCCTCGTAAGCACTTTATTTTACTTGAATGCCTTGAATAACAGTTGAAAACCTTTAATATATTTAAACACATTTTCACATCTCATAATTGCTATATTATTGTCAGCACTAAAACTTATTGATCATCTTCAACTCAGATAGATTATTTCACCAAGGTTACTTTTTGACAGAATGTTTGTAGCTAAATAATTCTGTCTACGCAGTTCAGCAATTTTAAGGAGGTGCTTGTGTCGATACAGGTAAGTTTACTTAATATCAGGAATGATTTCGAGTCTCACAGCCGAATACGCTGATGCTTTTACGAAAGTTTTTTACGTGCGGAACTTGTAAAACAGGCCAACACAAAAGTGGTAGTGGTTGAATGGAGCAATATATTTAATATTAGCTAGGGTTAGATGGACGTGATAATAAGGGGCCGACCTTCTAGATAAAAAACAATCACGTCCTAATTGGAATGTTTCAAAACATGGTCTCAAATTCGATCGCGCACCTCCAGATTTCATTCTGTTAAAACGAGAGATTTTTGTCGTTGTTGAGTATCTACAAAGCTATTTTTATTCGGAAGTTGATAACTTTTACACATTTAGTTAAGGTTGATTTGATTAACTTTATTGGTAATCATGGAAACAATAACTTCACAGAAACACAGGGTTATAACAGGCCAGTAGCTTGCTACGTAGTGTTTTTTCCCTCAATAGTTCTTTAAATAATATCAACCCTTGTCGACTCAGATAGTTAGTCATATATTATCATTCTTAGTATTGATTGACGTAAACTTAGATTGTGAAGAAATTGATAAAAATTATATGAGGATACGATTCCTTTCTCAGTATGTCAGAAATCAATAATGAAAAGTGAATTCATCATATATTCCACACGATGTTCTCATTTCATGCCTAAAATACAATCCGATATCTGGAAGTGTAAGTTTTTTTGAAATTGAGCACATTTTAATTATTTACTTGTCATAGTATTTTCACTGACCTGTACTTAGTAATCAAGAATTTTAATTATTGTACTTGGTCTTTGACTAGCTTGCTATATACTGTAACTTCCCTCTAGTGTGTTTGAATAATCCAGTTTCGGAAATTGATTTAATTGATAATCTTTTCAGTTTTAATGTAAATTGATTGCCATAAAATAACTACCGTTTTCATTACGCTTGATAGTAGGTCGTGCGTTGTTGATCCAGTTTCGAAGGAAACGGGTTCTGTATTGTTGTATGCAGCTTCATATTGTTTGTAGAAAAACATTTATGTATCATATAATGTACTCGAGCGTTAAATGATTGACGTTCAAGTCACAATGTCAGTATTTACGTGCATGTTAAACATTTCTCACCAACAACTACGTTTATGGCTTTTCATTTCAGCTAGTGTCTGTGATAGTCTTTGGTTCTATATCATCAGGCTGTTATACGCATCAAGGTGTTTGCATTTTTGGCACAACTTCTAGTGCTTGTAATCTCCCCGTTGCAATCGGCGTCTTTGCCTTCCTTGGAGAAATTTTTTTTCTCATTAGCGATTTTATGTTTGATTCAATTTCCAACATTAAAAGGCGGAAACATATTATAATTGGTGATTTGGGGTTCTCAGGTACGTCCTCTGTAAAAATTGAAATTAAAACATTATTTTAGAAGTTCATATAAAATATAATATTCCTTTCTAGGATGTATGTACCTGATTGATGAATAAATCAAGAAAGACAGAGATTTTAAAAGGAGAATACATTATAATAAGTGAAAGGCTTGAAATCATATTTTCTTACTAAATGACAGTTACGTATCCACAACAGATATAAGAGTAGCTCTTGATTAACCCGACTTGTTCTGATAACAAGATTTATCCTAATTAACGTTATAGGGTAAAATGATGCTGGATACCAGTTCTATAAAACATTTTTACCCCTTACGGTATCCAAAATCTGTTTTGTTAGCTTGTGTAAACCAGTTGATTTTGCGCTCGCTTGTTGTTTCTGTACGGTTCCAGGTATTTTTATATGTATGACGGGTGGTAGTTTAGCCACTTGACTGCACTAATTCTAACCAATTTGATTAATCTTGACTATTATAAAAATTATTATTAGAATGAGTGCTTGCGGATATTTTAGTGACTTTTTAATAGTTGAATTCATGCCACAAGCCACTATTCTAATAAAAGTCATCATATGCTCAATGGTGACTGGCTTTAAGATGAATATCCTGGAGTTCTAATGAGAAGTTATGACCAGTGTAGTCCTATCAGATCTACCTCAGACAATAGATGAGTGGTTGCGCAAGACCGTGGATCGATTGAAGTTAGACAATAACACCCTTAGACGCTGACACGGTGGTCTAGCGGTTGAGTGTTCGCGCGTGAGAACGAAGGATCTGGGTTGGAGTCCCGCATATGGAATAGTGGATGTGCACTGCTGAGTCCCATACTAGGACGGAAAGCCCGTCCAGTGCTTCCAGGTTTCCAATGGTAGTCTAGCTTACATCGACTCATGAATTCAACTATTATTAAATAAATGTTTATTTCATCAGTCTAGAGTTTTAAAAAGTCTGAAGTATTGTAATTCTAACGACCCTTCATCCTATAAGTATAACTGATTGGATAGTAAATCTACACAAGTCCTGCAATTTTATGTTCATAAAGTGTTTTATGCGTAATAATGTAGGTAAAGATCCTTTGGTGTAAAGCCTTGGTTTATACTTCTGATTCTCATTCGTCTAATGGACTTATTAGCCAAATTATCATCCAGTTATGTGTGTAAATGGTTATTCTAATACAATAGATTATTAGATTCACTCTGAAATCAAAATTTAGACATAAAACTCGTTTAGTAATTAGTTAATAGAAATTAGTTCAAGTGGACGTTCATATTATTACTAACGAAACTTAAAGTGACCATTTTGATGTTTTAAACATTACAATCTCAATCAAAGGGAATTCAGTACTATCATATTTACCAGGTTTTTCCAATGTAAAAGAAATTCTGCGACAAATGTACTAAACTATTTAACACTCTTGAAATAATCAAAAGTTATTTACTAAGGGTTATTTATAAACTAAAAGATATAAAAATCAACTCTAAAATTATCGAGTAAAGACAACAAGTCATACTTTATTCATTTATTTGGATGAAAAATACGTGCCAGATACAAACTAATAAACTAAAGCTGTTCGATGACATTAAGATTGTTAAATCAGAATCTCTAATCCAAAGGCGTAGAGTAACATGTATATTGTAGGAAACTTAAAGCAAAGAGTATTAATAACTCTTGAAAATCTTAAGGTAATCAACCATGACATTATTTCACGCTCAAAGCATTATATTATTAAGGACAGCTATGATCAAATATCTCTTAAGGGAATTTTCACTTGTCACTGACCTTTAGAAATGTTTTTTTTGAACCAATGTAGAAACCCAACCTTCAGCTACACAATGTGAGAGTAGATAGCAAAAAGTGACAAAGTATATTAATTAGGGTATATCTTATTCAATTATACCAATGAACACCTAAATTCGTGTAATATTGTTGTCATAATTTTAAATCATTTAGCAAATGAATATGTAACAAAAATATTTTAAACTTGATATCCGAACAATAATTAAATCTTGCATGAGTAATGTGAGCTGAAAAATCCATACTGGATCCCTGTATTGACACTGAAAATCTATCAGTAACTACGTCGAAAATTTACTCCACAGCTAATATAGACCACTGTTATTTACACTAGAATCCTTCTATTCCAGTCATACAATAGACAAACACCAATCAACCTTTGGGTAATAATTTGTTTTTGATACTTCTCTAATTGGTACTGATAATTTGCACGATTTGATCAGGTTTCCAGGAATGTTATTCTGTTGATTGAGCACTGAAATTTATTTGATCATGTTCCCAATGTGGAAATGTTGGACTTTTAAAATAACTGTTTCCGTAAGATCTTATCAGATTATTGGTTAAAACTCCAATTCAACATTTAAAGAACATATTTAACCGAATTACTTTCCATTTTTACTAGCAGACATCGGGACAGACGTATTCTAGTAATAAATAAAATAACGTAGTTAAGTAGAACAACACGCTATGAGAGGGTAATGATATCTGTAAATTAAAACCTACAAGAAAATGAAAATTCGGTCATTGGAAGCACACATTTTTAATTATCGTTTTTGGCGGTGAAGTTTTGATTGTAAAACTTTAGAAACTACGTTATTCAGTCTGATTTCCTTTCGCAGGTCACGAAATATTGTTTTCCTTTACAAATCAGGGTAATCAACAGCTCCAGAAAATTAGGTAGGACTGAATTTATGTAGTCAATTTCAATTTTATTGAAGAGGCTTTAAATGTTGGTCTACTTTCTGCAGGAGTAGTTTATGACAAATAACAGTCCACTGTTTATTGTTACACGTTATTCACAGACTTAGAAATCAACGTTAACAAGCAAATATTTCAACTTGAAACGTAATAAAGGGCTTCCACAAACTCTACGCTGGAAATCCTCCCTCAAAAAGGTGTGAATATATGATGATTGTTATTATTCGTTCATATCTTTATTTATATGCCCTTAATTCTATGTTTACTAAATAATGTCAAAGTTTATATAGGGATGACACTCATATCCGGTTACCTACTATCGTAGATGCAAATTAGAGAAGGTGTGCATTTATCAGATAGTTTTAGATAGATATCTCATAATTCACTGGCTTTATTTAATCATAGTCAAAATTTACCAAATGCCTATAGTTGTACATGAAGATCAGGTTCAATATTAAGATCGTTTTTCAAATTATCTAAGTTGTCTGATTGAAAAGTACAAATTATTCGGCTGAAGAAACTTTTCTTTTAATGAAAACAATATAATTTACTTTGTAGTCTTCATATTTGTCTCTTTAGTTATGCAAAGGGTTTTTCTCCCTCGTTTTACATTTAAATTTTTATCTTTCGATAGTGTAACAAGAAGACGAAGATTATCAGAACTATCGAAATTTATCAAATGGACTAATTGCTTTAAATTTTTATTATTTGTCCCCTTGCTTAATTTAATATCATATTTATTAGCAATATTTTTCGTAAAGACAAATAATATACATTTCGAATAAATAGGTTTGTGGACATTTCTATGGTTTGTGAGCTTTTGCTTACTTGCTAACAAATGGACAAACACATCTGACGAATGGCTTGGGCAACACAAAGTGGAAGGATGGCAGGAAAGTAATGCTCGTTCAGCGATTGTCTTCTCCTTCCTGTCGATTGCAATTTGGGTAGGTTTTATCTATTCATTCAAATAGCTGAATTTAATATAAGGTTACTTTTTAGAGATATTCAAACAGCTATCTAGTTCAATGAGTCATAATACACTTTATTACTTGCTAAAATAAAAATTGTTCTCGAAGTTGTTGTTTGCAAAGCCGCATAATTTTAGTCATTTTGTCATATTTCATAGTTTACATCACAAATTGATCTTAGTTGGGTAACCATTGAAAACCAAGAAGCACCAAACATGTTTTGTCTTAGTATAGAATACATTAGCAGTTCACATTCACAACTCCACCACTGAGCGTTTCCTTGACTTTCGGGTCTTGTATCAAGCGTCTGACCATTGGATGCTGATTCAGTGGTTTAAATGGTAAACCTACGTCATGGGAATTTAAGGTTCTGAAACTCGATTCTCGATAGAGTTTAGAAGAAGGACTCCTGAAGTATGCCATACTAGGACAAAACAACTGTCATTATTTTTCAGTGGTTATCTGAAAGTTATCAATCCGTGATATAAAGCATAAAATTTAATGATCTCCACCCACCCATTGTACTAATGCCTCGCAATATGTTGACATTCATTCACTTATTAATAATAAATAAATATTAGTCTAATATTAAAAGAAAATATCTCCAATGCAATGCATGGAAATCAAACATTTTACTCGATTTTAATTACTAGAGAATTTACTGACGAAGAACCAGTTTCTAAATACGAACAGAATAGTTCAAATTAACTTTTAACATTTTGATATTATCAATCTTGAACTTCATCATAAATTGCTTCTAATTTGATTTATTCATTTATTTTAACACATTGGTATTGGTACAAGGATGCACCAAATACATATGCGCCACACGAATCTCAATTGATTTGTGTGAGGGCTGTGATACTGACCGGATGCCCAAACCGAAGCAGGTGGTTTTCTTAGGCGGCCACACCCCGAGCCTTCGACCTGAACGTCTGACCCACAAGGCAGTGGAGCATCGTAAGGAGATGCAGTCCCATGGTAGCCGGTCACCAACGATTGGTTCATACGCCATTTGTTCCTTCAGGATACTGGAGCCCATGTGTACCATTGGTTTGGGGTCTGGTTAAAGCGCCGGACATTCGCTTTTCGTCCTCTCATTTTCGTAAACAACACCCCCGCCACGTGAAGGCAGCGAGTAGGACTTCCCTGGCAGAGGCTATATACGCGTGGCCATGTGAGAGCATTTCGAGAGGGAGAGCAGACTCTCCCCACTCTCAGCCGTACCAGGGCATTTGGGGGCAATTTGACTGATATGTTCATTCTATAGGAAATAGTCGGAAAACATTTTTAAAGAAGGAAACCTATAACAAAGATTTTTAGAATATAAGAGCTTTAATTGGTATCAATCAAAAATATGTCTAATTTTTATCATCGAAACAAAATTACATACATCCAAGAACACTAGACTAGAAAGCGTTGAACCCATGATTTTAATTATAAACAATCAATAAGATATAGAAGCATGAGGATTAAATTAAACATACTGAAACAAATTTAAACAACTGAGTGCTACAACCAAAAAGTATAGTTTAAATATCTGGTTCATGAATAACTTCCACAATTGGATCATTTGTAGAAATGAACAACTGGTTATTATAGAATGAAATCCTTGTTCTGTTTGTTAACAATATCATTTTAATTGGATAGTCTAATTAATTGCAAGTCTCAATTTATCATCGAACACCAATTGCAACTGATTTGAGTGATCATTTGTTAAAATATTCTCATTGTATAGTAGCTAAATAATTTTTATTTGACAAGAAATAAAGACAACTTAACATAGAGAATTCTAATCAATGGATTTCTTTTGTTGTTTATTATTTGTCGATTTTAATTTCATTTGAATAAAGGGTGGAATCACATTTTTCGCATTGCAACGATTTCGAATAGGCCAAGCTGGTCTCACTCCAGAAGAGGGACTAGGTGAACCTGGTTCAACTATGGATCCAAATACTGGTGTTCCAGGTCAGCCATATCCTGGTATGATGTCTGATCCGATGAGCCAGCAGCAGCAACAACAACCTTATGGTGGAAATATTCAACAACCACCTGTAGGTGGTGTCGGCGGTCAATATTATGGACCAACCTATTAACAAACTAAAGGGAGTCCTAATCTAGAAGTTTAACAGCAATTATACTATTCTTTGATCTCATTTGATTTTATGGTTTTAAGTTAAAACGTGATTGAATTTTGACTTCTTATGTGTAGTTGATGTCGTTATTGTTATTTATCATTCCATCGGTTATTATTATTCTGAGTTCTTTTTATATCATTGACTTGATTTCATTTTTTATTTATATATTACTCTACTTCTTTCATGACTGACAATAAGGTCAGGGATGGGAGGGCGCGAGTTAAACAATCGCAGAGACAAATCCATATCGTTAGTTTCAACTAATGTTTCTCCTCCGTTCTGTCAGACATTCCATTAAACTTTGATACATTACCTTGTGAATTTATATTTAAAGCTTTTTCAAACATATATATACTCATATTTCTTGTTTCAGTGATGTTGTCCTTTTTATGTTCAGTTGCTTTTAGTCGTATTTAGCATAATATTTGAATATATAAACAAATATGCAGAAAAATGTATATCACCACCAATAAATAAATAAGACTTCTATTGAATTTTATGCTATCTACAATAATGGCGACAAACATGTTGGTCCCAGTGGTTGTTAGCTGAGTTATTGATTATATATATACATATATTTAAACCAGCAATGTTGACTATCCAGTTACTTCTTGAGATTCATATTGAAAAAAATATTTATATCGTCAGTCCATTAGTTTACTATTCAACAATGCGAGTTAATTCATTACTTCGTCATCCTTTCCGCATATCTGGGCAAAGGGAAAATTGACTGAAGATCTTTAGAAACTCCCTAAATGAACTTGAAAATTAAAACAAACTTATAGCCAGTCAAAATGCAGGTGATATAATCAAGTAGTTAGTTATGTAATATCCCGCAGAAACGCAGGAATTCAAGGTCACAAGTTAGGGTTACAAACTTGGATTAGGAAAAAGAAATGGTCAGGAATGCCGTGTAGCCATATGGATCAACAAATATGCATCTAGTTTTGTTCTAGATAACAACCTTTATGTTCCTTCAGAAAAATAACAAATTATTGTCCTGTAACTTCAGTCTTCATAGGTTGTCGATATAAAATATTTTAACGGAGGTTTGTTCTATGAGCTAGTAGACTTGTAACTGAAGTTTTTACTGAACATGTCGTTCAGAATATCATCACTTGTTGTTGCTTTACTTGTATCTTCCGATTGTTATTTAGGACTGCAATTGATCAGTCTTATGTTGGCAAATGTGCATCCTGTGCGGATTACTTCGATATAGACTTAAGTCACAAGCTTTTTAAGCATCCTAATAACTGATTATTGGTAATTTTTATTTAACATTTAGCAAGGTACAAACTATCCACCACTAGATTTTGAAATCTGATTGGTTTGTTAGTATAGTATACATTTGGAAAATAAATGAACCTAATAATCATCCCGTTTGTTTAATTATCAATTCACAACAACTCATTATGCACATTTATTTGTGTAGAGCCATTATGACAAGTTAATTTATTAATCAATCAAACTGCCAGTCAAGGTCTCAGCCTACGTGTCCTCATCTGGACCATATGTACAAATTTATGTATACCAATGATTTATGTACCTAAATATTCGGCTCTGTCAATTATAGCTTTCTAGTTGTTTCTCACTTTCACTTATATGGGCAGTTGAGTAAACATATAAGAATCGGAGGTTGACGATCATAATAAAAATTTAGTGGTACTATCCTACTATCTAACTTGAATTGGTGTTAGAACATGAAATATATTGGTTTCATGGTTGAGTACTGCAATTATTAAACCATCATCGAAAATTAATACACGGAACTATTTCAAATGTAACCACTTTTTAATCTAAACATTTAAATTTTCATGTAGTTTTCTTATAATTCGTAAATATATTGAACGAAAAACTAACAATGGTGAAACAAAATGAAATCACTCTGCTAACAAAAATAATACATGTGTATCTTGTAGATAATTTTCTTTGAAGAGATTAAGAATGATACAAAACTGAAAGTTTGAAATAAAATATCCATAAATTTATCTATAAATATCCCATACAAGTAAACTACCTAATGCTCCACCATTTGCTGGAACAGATGTAATTAGAAAATGAGAATGTTTTGTAAATGTACATGATCGAATTAGTCTGGATTGTTGATCGATATTAGGTCCATGTGGTTGAGTTAGTGTTGTAGAACTCCACTCACCAATTAAACTCCCTTCATTTAGACTACCTAAGCTAGGAAGATAACCTAAAGATTTTATTTTAAGTAGATTATTTTTGAAATACACATCAATTAAACGTATTTTACCATCCCATTGACCAACTGCTAACAGACGGCCATCATCACGCCATGCAAAACATGAAATACCAGTAATACAATTATCAAGTGATTTATCAATTTTAGACAATTTAAAATAATTTGACATTTGAGAATCGAATTCCAATTGTACAAAGGCTATGTTTCCATTGACCGATGTGTCTGTATCACAACTATCCACACTAGGTCCGCCCAAAACAACGAATTTGACATTTGTTTCCATTCCATTTGTACTTTCCGTACATAATTGTTGTCTAAAAACAGGTTGAATAGAAAGTGTCATAATGGGAATAGATTGACCCAAAGGATAATTAAGCACACTTAATATTCTACCATCACCTAGCAAAATCAAGTGCCCAGATTCGAAGCCGGCCAAAAGGATAGAATGTATTTGATTTATTGAGAAAGTTTTTTCAATTCCTTTTAATGTCATACACATGCCTAGATTTGTAACATTTTGACAAGAAGTTTGAATAGAATTAATTGACTGCTGACAAATAAATACAAATTGAGGTAATTGGATTATTTCGATAGACGGTTCTTTGTTGGATGTTGAAGAACTATTATTATCATCATTTGTTTCTTCTTGACACAAATGGGCCAAGAAATAAACATCCGCAGAGCTGTTGATGTTACTACTATTCTTTGTAGTAAATGCACGCCATAAATCGGAATTGCAAAATGAGATATCATATGTATGAAGTTCGCCAAAAACTGAAACACAATACAAAAAGAAAGCAAGAAAAAACATATACAGTTTGACCGAGAAAATAATTTTGGGGGGAGGGGGAAGAAATTATGAAAACTCACAACTTAACGATAATATACAAGCCTGATGTGCGATATTGAGTCACAACAATGAATGACGATAAACAATATAACCAACAGTTGATATTTGAGTATGCAAACAATCAGATCATAATGTAACGCAAGGATTACACTCTATTTATGTAGTAACTAACGAAAATACTCCATTGTTTATCAGAAAGGTGGAGTGACATGCACATATACTATTCAAAGCCTTTATAAAAAGGGATTATTGCTAACGATAGAATCTAAAATCCGCGTTTCATCCTACTTAAGACCGGTCAGTCGGATCTACCTAGATCCCGGTGTGTTGACGTTTACACTGAAACTAGGACTCAGTACTTTTCGTATCAAGGTGATTAATAAAAAACCGAATTCCAATCATCTGAGGTTTTCTGAAGCTATATCGACCAAACGTCTGAAACCAGATTTATATATTCAGAAAGAAACAATAATGAATTTTTCTTTACCTTAATATTATTACATTCATTTTATTGCATCATCCTTTATTTCAACTCTTCCTCAATTTTTGATTACATCATTTTCATTTCTCCTCAATCCATAATTTAAATTGGCTGAATTCAACTAATATTATTCTTTATTACCATTTATCTGTTGTTTTTTTTGTTTAGTTACTTCATTATGCAACCATCCAAAGTTTATTAAATTTATGAATGTTAATCACTATTTCTAATGTTCCAGAACTTTCTCTCTCATATTTTATTTAGCTAAAACGATCTTATTAACATTATTGGAATCTTTGAAACATATTCATTTTTAATCACCTTCTTATTTATAAGATGTTAGCAACTGATTTAAACCTAAAAAAATAAAATCATTTCATATTATTTTGTACTAATTTTCATTTATGCTCTCTTCAATACTTAAAATAGTAAATCACGATCTGATAGAATCTAATCTTATAAAATGAATTTATTCAAAGTAATTAACCTGAAAGTTGGAGAATAGATCTAGTTGAGAAATGCTAAACATTTATCTAACAAATAACAGTATGTGAATTACTCACCTTGATCAAGAGGTTTAAACACTTCAGTCGTATCAAATTGTAAATTGCTTAAATCCCAGAAACGTATAAAGCCATCACGACCATGAGATATTATTACACCATAATTATTGTTATTATTGTTTCGAGGCCAAAAATGCAAACTTGTAATTTGGTATCCATTATGCCCAATCCATTGACGTAATGGACGATATTTTTTGATTGACCAAATAACTAACCAGCCATTCAAGTGACCAGATACTAAATAATTATCAGATATTGATAAAATATATGTACATGGACCAATAGAATATGAAGTGATAGGATTATTATTTATATTAGAATTTGGTTGCGCAGGTATTAATATATGAACTGGTTCCTAATTATAACAGGGAAATAGGAAATAAACAAAAGCATTAACGAATATAGTATCAGAATATAATAACAAATTATTTGAGTCTCATACAAGTGTTTCTTTTCGCTTATATAGCATTCAAGATAAGATAATGGCTACTAAATTGGAAATAAAGCATAATTTAAGAGAGCATTTAAAAGACAGCAATTGAAAACCTACAGTAATCGAACGATATAAGCTTATATGTAATTCACTTTTTCTAGATTCTGTAGTTCATATCCATAAATGATTTAAGAATAAATGTCTTTTCTTAATTAATAGCAGTTAGACATTAATGTTCAGTAGCTGACAATTTCCTAACTAATACATACATAAAAAGGAATAGGTCTGACGGATGTTAATTATTGTATACAATCATCTAAATTGCATCACGACTGAATCCAGTAACATTTTTAACATCAACTAAAACTTATCAGCTGGTTGGTATTGGCAGGTGAAACTCTGAAGTCAATGACGTTGATGATCATCAGTGAACCCAATGTTGCTGATTCATTCCCTGGGTCAGATTCGAATATTTATAAATGGCTAATCACTAGTGTTGGAGATAGTTGAAGGTATGCGAGAAAGAACTTTGAAGATAAATCTCAACATAGTGCTTTTGCGTCACTCAGGTTAATAGCCACATCGCAACTTGACCAAAAAAATTAGGTCAGCATTTAAAAGGACGAGACAAACATGATATTGATCACTACTCAGTGATTAATCAGTAGTAAATATATTAGTCCAACAGCAAGTCAGTCGCAACTCGAATACCTTACTAGCAAAATCTCAGGATGTAAAGATGGGTGACTTGGGTCAATAAAACTTCATGGTTCATCAGTTTCCTTATGATTGCAGGTACATATTGCCGATGAGTACCGACTAGCAAGGAACCTATATTCACAATCCTCTTCCAACTACCTCCAGCCGCTTAGCATAGTCTCTGTCTATCTCCAACTGTTATTGGATTTCGCGGTCAAAATGATGGATGAACCGACGTCCATGATTTAAGCTCCAGGTTGATT